AGGCCTGTGCGCTCGGCATCGTGCCGTCGGCCCCGTGGCTCCTCGTCCTGTTGGTAGGATGGAGGAATCTGCTTAATTGGGGCACGGCGGTGGCCGTGCTGATGAGCAGCCAGGCCCGATGGCAGCTTGGTTTTGTTCGGGAAGCAGGGAAAAGATTGAGGCTGTCATGAAGCGCCTCGTCAGAGACAGGCCTCCTGCTCCGTGCTCCCTCTTTTATTAGATAAATCTTTAATTAGGTCAACAGCTACCGGCGGAGAGAGGAGCACGGGGTGTCCTCTGCTCTGCTTTTGTGGCAGTGGCGAGCTGCTGGCTCCTGGCAGTTTGCTGTGCTCCCCTTGGATTTTTTCCTGTGGGTGATGCTATCCTGGGAAAGCACTTGGGATGAAGGGAGGTGCAGAGCTGTGTGCCCTGGGAGGTGCAGAGCTGTGTGCCATGGGCATGGCCCCCTCTTCAAAGCTGTAGAGATTGGGGAAAGGGTTGGGAATAACAGGGTTGTGGTGTTTCTCAGTCAACCCCTGTGCTCCAGGATCCCAGAGTATCACAGCCAACTCTGCTCTGGAGCATTCCAGCAGCTTCCAGCCAATGGAGCTGTGCCCGAGCAACCTTGTGGGGACACCTGTAGTGATGGTGATGCTTTCCTCTTCCCTCCAGGACCTCCTTTTATTGTTTCCCCTCCGGAGAACATCACAGTCAACATCTCCCAGGATGCACTCTTCACCTGCCAGGCCGAGGCGTACCCTGGGAACCTCACCTACCTGTGGTACTGGGAGGAGGAGAATGTCTACTTCAAGAAGTGAGTTTGCAGCTTTCAGGGCAACCTGTCCTCCTCCTCCTGCTCCCAGGTTGTGCTGGGAGCTGGGATTGTGCATTGCCCTTGGGTCTCCCTGTGATCCTCCTCTCCTCTTCTCTCGCAGTGACCTGAAGTTGAGGGTGCGGATCCTGATCGATGGGACGCTGATCATTTTCCGTGTCAAGCCAGAGGATGCTGGAAAATACACCTGTATCCCCAGCAACAGCCTGGGCCGCTCACCATCAGCCTCTGCCTACCTGACAGTGCAGTGTGAGTGTGGGGATGGGGCTGGGATTGGGAACACTTGGCTCTGGGACAGCCCTGGAGCCTCTGTTCTCCTGGTAGAATACTAGGAGAATCAGGTTGATGTGACAGCAGCCTTTGGATGGGTATGGAATCATCCTCAGCAAAAAGCTGACAGCATCCCATGTGGATGTGGGAGACAAGAAAGCAAATGGGCTGAGTGACCATTTGGGTGACAAATAGGTGCACATGTGCGAGACAAGAAAGCAAATGGGCTGGGTGACCATTTGGGTGACAAATAGGTGCATCCTGGTGACACCACTCATCTGGGAGCACCATCCACCTTTGCAAAAACCACCTGGTCTAGGTGAGCACCATCCCACCGCTGCTGTCAACGTTCTGTCCTCCTCCTGCTGGGAAACATTGGATCAGAGCTCTGAGTCTTGTATTTCTGGGTGTTTATTATGGGGGCTCGTTCCTGTGGCGTGGCTGTTCCGCGAGCTCTGTAAGCTTTGTGTGTCACATTTTTCAGGCAGTAAGTGATCTAAACAAGCAGAGGAGAAAGGGCTGTAGCAGGAACGCTGCTTCCCACGCTTGTTCTCCCGGAATCCCCGGGCGGTAATGGGTAGTGTGCCACCGGCGTCCTGTGGCATTCGACAGTAATGGCCTCAATTGCTGCTGCTCGCAATTGCAATATTGCTCTGCTGTAAAAGGCTGTGGTGGTTTTATTTGATAATGAAAGACAGGCCTGAGCAAAGTGGGCTCACGACTTGGGTTTTCCAGGCTGCCTTAGAGCTGCTGCCTCTAGACCTGGTGCTGCTTAGTTGAGGAGCTGTGAGAAGGGCTGGGAGGTGCTGTGGTTTCCCCGTGGGGCTGGATGATGGGGCAGACCAGGCAGGGGGATGGTGTGAGTGGTGCTGTGCCGAGGCAGAAGCATGATTTGGGGTCAGGATGTGCCTGGCTGGGTGGCTCTTGGGAAAGCCTGTGGCCTCAGGCCATTAAATCTGCCCTGTCGCTAATCCAGGACCAGGGCTGATAGCTGTTAAAAATAGCTCTAATGGCAGGAAAAACAGTGTTTAGACAATCTGCCGTTCAAATGAGGCTTGGGCTCGAGGAGGGGTGCTTGGCTTTTGGTGCCACAAGCCCTATTTTTTCTGGCACTAACCTCCTCCCTATGGGGGGAACTGATGCTTTGGGAGGGAGCTTCCCACCCACCGAAGCGGACGGGGACACAGCTCTGGGTCATTAGTGAGCCAGGCTGGCCCCCGGCCAGTGACCTAGTAGTGAAAGGCTCGATCCCATTACCCTCTCCCGCACTGCTGGAGTCCTTGATTACATTTCCTAAGAGGTGGAGTGAAGCAGAGGGGGGTAAAGCCTCCTCCATATGCAGCGCTTGGCAATCTGGGTTACGGTGCCATTGCTGGGGGCGCAGGGTTTGGGGGAGTGGTTGGGGTGATGTGTTGGAGCAGGAAAGGAGCAGAGCTTCCAAACTTTGTGCTTTTTGCCCCAAGAAAGCCATAAGGAGAGGACACACCCACATCCTCCATCTTTTCC